CTAGGGACTCAGATTGAGAGGGTCTGGACACCTTTATCCAAGACTGCAAACTGCCTAAGAACCTCCCGCAATATAATCATCATTGAATCTGAACTTTATAAATTACAACTTGGCTTAACTGCAGTCTAGGGGGAACCATATCTGGGTGACCTCTCTCAAACTTGGAACACAACATTTACTGCTTTTGTTTGCTAGTTTAGTTGGAACTTCACTATAGTTGAACCGCTAAATAATAAGAATCTCACGGAGTAGTCATCACACTAAGGACCCGGGTTGACATTTAAATCTAAACCCGCTATACTACGCATTAGTAGGTGGTTACACTTGGCCACTTTCTAGAGTGACGTTACAAGCGTGTCAACGTCTTAAGCTAGCACCCAAAACTGCACATTGTGTGTTTATGGGGTACAGTTCGGTACACAAAGGGTACCTATGCTATGATCCGGAGCAACGCTGTATGCGGATTTCGTGTCATATTGTGTTCTTAGAGTATGTAATGCATTATTCACTAGCCAAAGATGTGTCTCCTGAATCATTGGATTTTCTTAAACATTTTCCATCCTTTAGACAGGGAGGGTAATGATCCTAATAATCCTCATGGACGTCGACCGGAGGGAAGTGAGTCTTCTGCTAGTTTGGACAACTCTCCCCTAAGAACGCCAACAACTGGCTTCTCTTTGGCTTCGACATCTGACGGCAGCAGCTCGGCCACTAGCTCAGCAACGTCTTCTTCTTCATTGAGTGATACAGGGTCAGCTGAAGGCAGCTCAAGTTTCGCTTGGTCAAATAGTGATGATGATGGTTCAATTGGAGTTGGGGTCAACGAGATGCAGCACATCCCAAGTCCATCTCCTTTACCACGTCGATCTGATAGGGCCACTAAAGGAGAACGACCACTGCGATTACTTGACTATGTGGGGTACTCGAGTGAACCTATACCAGTGCCCTCTCAATATCACTTCGCTAAGGGTAACGCAAAATGGGATGCTGCTATGAAGGAAGAGCTTCGTGCACTCGAAGAAAACAACACAGTTTGGCAAGTCATTAATTTCATGGAGATGTCATAAACAGGATAATGTTGTAAAGTCATCTACGGAAGTGGAATACAGGTCCATGTCTGAAGTCAACTCAAAAATGGTATGGCTTCAGCGTTTATTTCATGAATTAGGCGTATCATGTCAGGTGCCTATGGTGATAAAAAGAGACAACACGAGCGCGATGCAGATAGCCCTGAATCCAGTTCTATATGATCAGACGAAACACATTTAAGTCCACATAAACTATATACGTCAGCTAGTATCAGAAGGTGTTATTCAGTTGCAATACTTGAGGACAGAAGATCAAATAACAGACGTATTAACAAAGGTTGTGGCGTCAAGCAGGCACTGGTATCTCTCTTCCAAATTGATGTTAAGAACTCAATATCAATTTTGGGGAGGGTGTTAATTATAGGGACTATCTTGTAAATAGCCATCCGAGTTGCTCACATATACCAGTAGGGTTTGGAGCCAAAACCATATAAATATGTAGTCGATTTGTACAGGAGGAAGGAAAAATATAATATCAAAAAACCTGAGAGGGAGATCCTCTCCGTGGACTAGGGTCACATCGACGCTACCACATTAAAAAAAATTTTATGTTCGTTTACGTTCATGCTCTTGATTTGATATTTTGACAAATAGTACTTGTAGTATAACATAACACTACTCGTACTACACATACCCTAATACCCTCCTAAATTGATGGTAATTACTTACCCGAAACAAAATCGATAGGATGGAGCTATTTTGTAGTAATCATATTTTCATGGAACTCATTAATATGGTTAGTTAGTTATTTATCACTTTGTATGATCATCATTTGCGAATAGGAAAATTAATTGTGATGCAGGTGGTGGAAAGTGAAAACCTTAGATAATAATAGAAATTGACTTTAAAAATCTAGTTTCTCGTAATGCCGAGATGATTCTTGCATTTTGGAGAGGACATGAGTAATATTGATTCGGGACTGATTCATTTAATGCGGAGATAATGCTTGGAGTAATATGGATTCCATATTGATCTAGTAATTCAACTACCATATTATTAGATTGATTTTCACAAAACAAGATTTATTTTTAGGACCAAGTTGTAGTTTGGAAAATGTGTGCTTATATATTTATAATTGGATGCGAATGCATGCACTCTACCATTTATTCAAAACCAACCGAGGTTCAAAAACTCACTGACAAGCTTACACAGTTTGATAGGAATGTATCAAATCTGGTTATCAATAAGTATTTGCAACTACCAGCAGAAAATGTTTGTGTAGATGTACCAAACAAATTATATCCACGATATTACTAGTATTCATTATTATATCGGAAAATCCGTGAAATGCAACGTAATTCATCAACATAACAGATTTTATTAGAAAGTTTGGGATGAAAAGCCAGTGACACCATGAGATGCTCATGATTCCGCCCGTCAAGATAGACAACCAAAAATTCTTCCTCCCAACATACGGCGTGAAACTGAGAAACTGATCTTTCCATAGCACAATATTTCGAGTGTCCTTCGTCGTCCAAGGGATAGAGGTCCAATATCCTCATTGTTATTGTCGTTGTTCAACTCCAATGTTGCAAAATAGGCTCTACCAACATTGCAAAACAGTTAATTTTAGGTAGGCTAAATTACACCTTTGGTCACTCAAATTACATAAATTTTTCACGTTTACCACCCAAATTACTTTTCTTTCTTATTCGCCACTAACTATACAAATAATTTCACCGTTAGTCACCAACCGTCAGTCTCCGTCACACTCCGTTAACTCCGTCAATTTTTTGATGACGTGACAAACAGAATTGCTGACTAGACCGTTAACTTAATAATATGTCAATTTAAAAAAATTAAAATTTAAAAAATAATTTACAGCTCATCTCTTAGCCGGCCGGCGACACGAAGAAAGCTCCATTTACCATTCCATCCCCTTCCGATCACCATTCCAGTCCTTCCATTCCTCCTCGCCAGGATCCAGCCTCTTCGTCACCTGAAATCCCGAGATTCCATCCAAGTAAAATCAAAACCCCCAAATGCCTAGCTCCGATTTCGCCACCAGTACCCAAGTTAATACTTATCGTGCTTACTGCTTGGCTTTGTGCTTCCGGTCGCCGCCGCCGCTCTCCATCGTTGCTGGAGTGGGTTCTATTTCTACGATTCATCTCGAAGCTACATCCTCTGCATTTTTGGGTTCCAAGCCCAGAACCCATCCGCAACCAGTTTCAAGCCCTGGTCCCTCTTCCATTTGATGACGGTGCTTCTCCGTGCAGATCTGTTCGTGGAGAATCGCCTAGAAAGAGCGTGGAAATCACTATGTGCTATGATTTTCTAGAAATTGATCCGGATCAGCCATCTTCTTCCTCTCGTCGACAGCAACAGATCTGGCACCACTGGTTTTCTTCCCACAAGCAGGAGAGTGAAAACTTTTCCGACTACCCCTGCTTCTCTTCCCTCAAGCCCAGTCTCCAACAAACGGTTCTTCTCTCTACTCCACGACCAAACCTAAAAACACTTTCTTATTTCACCACAAAAAAATCAATAAATCATGAATCTGCCCAATTTTGTTAATGAAATATCTTTGGGAGATTTGATATGGAAGAGAGCAAGCGCTATTCATTGACTAAAGCTCCTTTCACTACTTTGAACTTATGCCTCTTTGAGGTCTTCGAAACAGATTGAATGAGAGAGATATAACTTCTCGGTACAGTCTAGCGGCGAGATCCGCCGATAACTTCGAAACAGGGGAAGCCCTCGGCGGCGTCAGAGCGATGGGGACGGGCCCAAGAGGAACATGTTATTTGGAGTGTGGTCGACGCCGGCCGTGGAGAATGAAAGGATCATTTTTTTAATTTTTGATTTATAATCTTTAAAATTGACATGTCATTAGTTGATGGTACAGTCAGCACTTCTGTTTGCCACATCATCAAAATTTTGACGGATTTAACGGAATTTAACGGAGACTAACGGTCGGTGACTAACAATGAAATGATTCGTAAAGTTAGTGGCGAATAAGAAAGAAAAGTAATTCGGGTGGCAAAGGTGAAAAATTTATATAATTTGAGTGACCAAACGTGTAATTTCCATTTTAGGTACTAACGTAATTTTAGGCTAAGGGATCTTATTTCCTGTGGCAGGTTCCAACAAAAGGCATACATTTACATCACAAGTGTACAAGCATCCTATCCAAGGGCAAGCTGCAAGCTCCCTGTGGGCTAAATCCACGTGGCGGATCTTGTTGGTGGATCTCCTCGCTACATCGATAAAGTGATGACAGTGGCGATTATAGGGTGTTTTTTTTTCTTGAATGTGATGAAATTTTATAGGGTGTTTTTTATATGAGTACTCAAGCGAGGGATGTGGAATTGGGCGATTAATTAGGTTATTATCTTGTGGCGCGCATCTTTTTCAATTCAATCTCCCCATTGTTCTATTCATGATCGTCCTATTGGTTTTTGGTTGAATTGCATGTTGGATATGAGAATTAGGAAATTATTCAAGCTACTGGTTTCCCTCTTCATGTTCTGAACTTATTTATTAATTGTTTACGGTAAATTGTTAGGCTTTGTTTCTCGTTTCATTTTTGCTCTCTATTTTTCTTTGTCGAGGCAGGCAAGGGGAGGGCCGGACCCGGAGTCAGGAATGACAAGGGCTATCTCTGTCAGTGGATTTCAACTAGTCGTTCAACGACATTGAAGTATGGGAAAAAACAAGCTTTCATAAAGATAGATTGACGGGCGTCGATGGTGCATCCAAACCGGAAAGAAAATACGAGCTATGCCCGAATAACGACGAATGCGGTGCAAAGAGTAGAAGGGATTCGTCAACTCTCCCGAAGTGGACACCTGGATTATTTTGGCACACCATAGGATGAGTTGGAATGCCTACGTGGTGAGGAAAATTACAATTTGATACTCTCAATTATGTTTAGGGATGGAAAATGTAACCATGCAACTAAAACTCCACTTATATGATTTAGTTGCAACTAAAATAATTTAAGTGGTCAGTGCGCAACAAATTCAATACTTTTATGGTATGCCGGGCAATTGACCCCGTGCACTAACTGCGTACCATTACTTAGCTTTATCCAAAATTTACCATTGTAAATGAGCTCCTTTGTATTTCAAGTTAAAAAAAAAAAAAATTGATTTCTCATACGTAGTAGATAAGAGTTTGCCAAGTTCCTCTGCACACTTGCAAGCTAGCTAATGAAATGCCTCAAGAGTGAAGAGTAGGAGCACATAACACAAAAGCAACCCTCCTCCCCGCTGCAAGCCCCATCGCACAGCCTTCCAGCCACCCACATTGCCAAAAAAGAAAACGCAAATGACAAGTACCAAAATCAGAGCACACGAGAGGAAACTTTTAAGCATACGGTGCTACTGGAGTGAGATTTCCTCGTTTGTTTCGTTGTTGCATTGCACCCAAAGAAACTGATAGACAGATGGGTGGTGGGGAAACACAAGCTTAGCTTACCAATATGGGCAACTAAACTATATCCGCGCGCTGCAGGTCCATTCCATTCCATTCCAAGCCAAGCCAACCATATCAGTCTACCAAGGCAGCCCTAAACACGGGAATAGATAATTGATTATTGGTCAATCGATCATGAGTTGTTAGAATGAAACGAACACAGACGTACACTACCATTGCTTAATTATGATGAGATGCAGAATGAAAAAGACTAATAAAAAGAAGGAACTAACTGAAGGTGCCGACGGGAGTAAGCAACTGTCGAGGTTCTAAATAACAGTCATCAATAGCAAAGCGCGCATCGGACAAGTCGTGGCACTCATAAAGACCTCCATTTTCCCATGTTGACGATGATGATGATGATTCGTCTGATTCCATACTATCAACAGCAGCAGCAGCAGCAGACAAATTCTTAACCAATCTAAACTTGCAGAGCGCGAGGGTTAAAAGGCATGGACACCATATAAACACACAGAACCAGTTGTTGTTACTGTTATCATCAACCACTAACGGAAGCACCCCTCCCACGCAGGTGGAATGGACAATGTCTTTAAATTTAGCATTCAGACATAATTCTACTTCTTCCAGATGCTGAAACCCCAAATCATCGCGCCGGCCAATTCGCATTGGTTCCAGGACAGGCCACCTCACATCCATAACCCCAACAACAAAGTCATCCTCAGGAACCTTCCTCTCAGCAATGTTGAGTGAAAAAAGCTTATCCCCTGACACAATGTTCTTCAAAGATTTGCAGTACCCACGCTCTGGGTCTAACCAAAATGGTAAATCAGAATATCCATCACTCATCTTTTTGCTGCTGCTGCTAATACCATCAACAGGAGGAGGAGAATCACGTACACGGCATTCTCTGCACTCTAGAGCTTCCATGTCGAAACAGAAGAGACGCAGAGTGTGACGCTCCCGATAAGAAGGACAGATCCGGACATATATCTTAGTCCCTAGCTACCACAAAATGTTCATGACCGAGTGAAAAAGGGGAAGGGCCCATACGATCAGCTTTATACAACTCGTCGAATGGGGTTCTGACCCCTGAAGATTGATTAACAGAGAGGTTTAAGACCTCACGGCCGGTAAGGAGCGCGGCTGCCCAATTTCCGATTCCAATCGAGCTCAATTTCATGAACAGCCGTTCCAATGATGAGAATCTTGTTGCTGCGGAAGGGAATAACAATAGGAGATGTCTTGGGAGAAATCAGCTTACCTGCCCTCTTAAACTCATAGGGACTCTCACCCTTGAGATCGCAGGCGTAGAATTTTCGAGATCTGGCCTTGGACCAAGGATGACGACCGAAAGCATACACTTTGGTTCCCACACGAGCGAATTCCATGCCGCGAGTACCCACAACTGGGGGAAGTAGAGTCCCATTCCCTTCTGCTGGATGTTCATCGGTGACACCGCAATACCATCTCAGGGCGCTGAGAAATGACCACGGGATCCTGCCAATTCGGCTCCTCCAGGATCATAGTCCCATCAGGATCGGCAAGAGGAGGAGGAGGTGGAGCCAAATCATTGTTTGCAGACATGGCGGCTTTTCTGTCATCTTCTTCCATATCGCTATCGCTCCGATATACCCATGCAGCCGAAAGCCAGTCCGTCCCATGCCTATACCACATCTGACGCTGATGTTCCATCTTCTGGATCGACGTAACGTACCCCTTCTCTCTCTCTCTCTCTCTCTCCTGTTATTACCTGACCTGACCTAACCCTAGAAGAGAAAGCTCAAGCAATCGCCGTCTGAACAATAATATGTCTAAGCAATGGAACGAGAGAAAGAGGACGGACGAGTTATATAGGTCGGCATCGAAGGGTTTTAGATTTGGGCAATTCCCTCAATTTATTTCCTAGCACTACAAAACCCTCCAGCCTCCACCATCATTCGCCTATACCGCGTCGCCTAGGGCTGGGCATGCGGGCGGATCATCCGCGGGTTTGGGCCGACCCACCCGCATTTGTCCCGAATTTTGTTAAGTGGATGGGTCTGTGGGTGGGTGACGGGTTGCGCTGGGAGCCATCCGCCGGGTGGTGGGTGGGTTGTGGGTGAGTGTGCGGGTGACCCGCTCAACCCAACAGCAAAAAGATCAAAGTCGTTGGCGCTAGAGAGAGGAGAGTGGAGACGTTAGATATAAATTCGGACTACTCCTGGAGTTTGAACCTCAAAGCCAACCTTCCAAATAGAGATCCCCTCTTCTTCCCTTTACTTTTTCCTCTAATTCTTGTGCCTAGATCACCGCTCTTTCCTTTATGGAATTATTTTCCTTAGTTCCTTGCACCTAATAATCGTCTCAATCTGTAGAAAACTCTTTCATAATAGAATTTCTATCCAATTTAAGAACTAATTCGACATTTTTCGTCCTATTTCAACTTCTTGTTTCCCTCGATGATTCTCTTCACCTATTATCATGTCAAGTTGACTCCTTTATATAATATACATTGTGATGTGGGTGAACCCACAAACCCACCCGCATCATCCACCATCCGCCTGACCCAACCCGAGACTAAATGTGGGTGGGTGGTGGGTTAAAAATTATCAATCCGTTTTAGCGCGGGTGGGTGCATTTTATGGTCAAAATCCACCCGACCCACCCAATGCCCACCCCTAGCGTCGCCCTAGTTTTTTACGACGAAAAATTAATTTTCGTCGCGAAAAGACACATTCCGTCGCAGAAGGGTGCATCTTCCTCGACGACATATACGTCGCAATTGAATTTTAGCGACGAAGTGTGCGTCGCTAAAGAAATTGGTATGGCAACAAATGTTTATGTTTGATGCTAAATGATAGATGCAGCAACGATACTTTCGTCGCCAAATGCATGAGTCCGCGACGAGTTGTTCGTCGCTGAATACATGAGTTAGTGACGAGTTGTTCGTCGCTGAAACATAGTTTTGGCGATTGTCCGTCGTCGATTCTTTGTTTCAGCGGCGAATTTAATCGACACGGTTGGTCATCTTTTTTGCGACGAAAAAGTTCGTCGCCAAATATTGACAAAATTGTCAACTTATCATTATTTGTGAACTGATGTACCCTGTTTTGGTTTTGGAATGCAAACTCACAAATAAACATAAATACAACTGAAATATTTTTCATCAAACAAGTATTAATATAACAGCAATGTCATTAATGTCAACATCTCTTTACATAATAGATTATTAATGTTTATACTTCTTTCATGACGGTAATGTTTCAATTTGTATGACTAAATTTTTTTTTTTGGGTTTGAGGAAATCGTGGTTCTCCTTTATTAAATTTTAGGACTAATTGCAGGTTTGAGTAGGTTCAACTCGCATTAATCGGATCAAATTAGGTTGGATACCCATAGATTTGAGCTCAATTGTCTTTATCAAACAAAAGGAAAAAAAAAAAAAGAAATGAAACACACTAAAATTAAATCTCGCTACCGACTCAAAAATTGTCAACACCAGGTTCAACTCGCTTTGACCTGGTTGGACCAAGTTTTGGACAAATTCACATCTGGCACAACACGCCAATTACAAAAACAAATAAACTCGCTCCCGCCGAAAACCTGTAAAATCGGGTTCAAGTCGCTTTGGTCAGGTTGAATTAGGTTGTATACCCATGCGTTATTTTGGACTCAATTGTCATTCTCAACCAAAGGAAAAAGATAAAAAAAATACTAAAACGGATAAAACTCACTCATGACCCCCAATTCTCAACACTACGGTCAACTCTCTTTGATCGGGTCGACCCAGTTTTAACAAATTCACAATTTACTCAACCTGAGCGGATAAAACTCGCTCTCGATACGAAACGCGTCAACGATGGGTCAGAGTTCAATTGTCATTCTCAACTAAAAGGAAAAAAAAATTAAAAGAAATTAAAGCGTACAAAACTCGCTTTCGATCTAAAACTGGTCAACAACTTGTTCAACTCGCTTTGAACCATTTTTTAACAAATTAACACTTGGTCCAACTTGCCAACTACAAAAACGGATAAAAACTGGTTCACAATACAACACTCGTCAAAACCTTAGATTCAGGTTCAATTGTCTTCCCAACCAAAAGAAGAAGAAAAAATAAATTTATAAAAGCTAAAGTCGATTTCAAGTCGCTTTGACTGGATCGAATTAGGTTGGATACCCGTGGATTTGGGTTCAATTGTGATCATGCTCAACAACAAAAAGGGGGGAAAAAAGAAAGAAAAAATACTAAAGAGGATGAAACTCGGTCCTGATACAAAACTCGTGGTAGCAGCCTTGGGAAACAACTTAGGATTCCGCCGACAGTATTTCAAGATGGGCTGCAAAATGGTGGGCAAAAGGCGATGATTTGTGCAATATGCCATAGACGAAAACTTAGCGAACAATAAAAAAACACTAAAGAGGATGAAACTCGGTCCAGATACAAAATTTGTGGTAGCGGCCTTGGGAAACGATGATGGGGAACAACTTAGGATTCCGCCGATAGTATTTCGACAGGCTATAAAATGGTCGGCAAAGGCGATGATTTGTGTTCAAGTTAGGATGCCTATGTGTTTGGGTTCAATCGTGATCATGTTCAACAAAAAGGAAAAAAGAAAGAAAAAACACTAAACATGATGACACTCAGTCCCGATACAAAACTCGTGGTACGGGCCTTGGGAAACTGTGGTGGGGAACAACTTAGGATTCCACCAACAATATTTTGAGATGGGCTGCAAAATGGTGGGCAAATGCGAAATTTTGTGCAAAAACTAATAGACGAAAACCTAGCGATCAATAACTAAAGACAAAGGCGATGATTTGTGCAAAATGTCATAGATGAAAACCTAACGAACAATAACAAAACACAAATGCAATGATTTGTGCAAAAAGCTACAAAAACCTAGCGAATAATAACTAAACACAAAGGTTGTAGAATGTAGAGTGGGGTAAAAGAAGGGCTTAGAACTTCCCCATTTTCACTTGGAGGAGTGTTGCAACAATTATCTATTAGGTTTTCGTCTATGATCTTTCGCCAAAATAATCGCCTTGCCCCACCAATTCGCAACCCATCTCTAAGCACTATCGACGAAATCATAAGTTGTTCTCTTCCACTGTTTGCCACGACTGCTACCGAAGATCTATCTTAAAGTACTTTCAGTGGAATCCTAGGTTGTACCCATCCACCGTTCCCAAGACCGCTACCAAAAATCCATACCAACATGCTCTGTATTGCCGAGTTCTGTATAAGGACCGAGTTTTATATTCATTAGTGTTTTCTTATTTCTCATTTTCTTTTGGTTAAGCATGACAATTAAACGCAAACTCATGGGTATACAACCTAATTCAACCAGGTCAAAATGACTTGAACCCGACTTTAGTAATTTTAAATTTCTATTTTTCTTTTTTGTTGAGAATGACAATTGAAACCAAACCAATGGTATTGTCGAATTTTGTATCGAGAGCGAGTTTTATCCGCTTTTGTAGTTGGCATGTTGGGTCGAGTGTGGATTTGTTAATAACTCGATTCCACCCAGTCAAAGCGAGCTGAACACGGTGTTGACGGGTTATGGGTCGAAATCAAGATTTGTCTATTTAATGTTATTTTATTTTTTGGTTTCCTTTTCGTTTTGATCGTGACAATTGAAGCAAGACTCGATGCTGACGAGTTTTGTATAGAGAGCGAATTTTATCTACTTTTAGAATTGACATGTTGAGCCGACTGTGAATTGTTAAAAACTCGGTTCGAACCAGTGAAGGTGAGTTGAACTTGGTGTGTAGAGTTTTTGGTGGGGAACGAGTTTTATCCGCTTTAGTGCTTTTTATTTATCTTTTTCCTTTTGGCTGAGAACTCAAACCTATGGGTATCCAACCTAATTTAACTTGATAAAAATGACTTGAACCCGATGTTGCAAGCTTTCAGGAAGGAGTGAGTTTTATTCGCTTTGTAATTGGCGGGTTGAGTTGGTTGTGAATTTGTTACATACTCCATTCAACCATATCAAAGAGAGTTGAACATGATGTTGCCTAGTTTTGGGTCGTGAGCGAGTTTTATCCACTTTAGTGTTTGTTAATTTATCGGGCGGGTGTGAGTTTTATACGCTTTTTAAATTTTCTGGTAGGGTCGATTGTGAATTTGTTACAAACTCGGTTCAACCAGATCAAAGAGAATTGAACATTATGTTGCCGAGTTTTGGGTCGTGAGCGAGTTTTATCCGCTCTAGTGTCTCTTTTTCTTTTCGACTGACAATGAATTTGAAAAAAAGCAAAAAGAATACAAACTAATCAATAGTGTGATGAGAAAGATTTAACATAAAAATCATTTCCTCGACGACCTTTCTCGCTTATTAAAGTTCATCGTTGCGTCAACTACATGAAGTTGTAGATGACAAACCCTTTACTTTTAGATCAAAATTCAAACTAT